GGGTACAAAGCTCTTGTAACACACCATTTGAAGCACTCTTCATCCTTGTTCTTCATGTTTATGATAGCCATCTTACTCTCGATATGTTTTGGTAGCTTAATGTATGAAGAGCCTTTCAAAGGGGTGTATTTCACCGTATGTAAATCTAAACCTTCAATGGAATGGAGAGCCCAATTACTCCCCTCTTGCGTAAACTTAGCCATACTCTTTCTCATTTTGTCAACACTTTTCTCATAGATCTCTTCTCTATCAGTCTCTTCAAATACAGTCTCTACGAAAGAATTAAAATATGCAAGCTTTACCGTAGTCTCATCTGTCGCAATATTTGTCTTTGACATGTTACACCTCAGAATGAATTTTATCTTGATATTCTTCTGTGTTTGCAGAAAGTTGATAAAAATCGGTTTCACAGCCTGAAGAAATTCCTTCACCGCATAATCTTTTACCCCATCAATCGTGTACATCTTTGTAAACCGTTTTAGCGAAGACGCTCTCTCAACAAGTTTGAAACGGTGGTCATCTTTTTTGTAGAGTTCATCGATATTCTCTTTGAAATCTTTTAGCTTGTCAGCTACAAAGCTTGTTGCTCGCGGTTTACTGCTTGTGTTTGCTATTTCCTTCAACCACTGACCCCAATCTTCTACCTTCTTTTTCCCCCAATCAACAGCCTCCTCTATCTTTTTTCTCACCCCTTGGAGCCCCCTGTGAAAGAGCCCCGTGAAAGAGTCTATGAAATTAGCCCTCGGTGCTGGTTTTAAGATTTGTTGTACAACAGTGTTTTTCTCCATTATGCAGTTATGTATTCTGTAAAGATAATTTTGATCTCAAAAAAATTCTTTCTTATTTTTTCTTTCTATATTTTGTTTAAGCTATTTTTCTCACTTGATTCGAGTGAGAAAAAAACGTAAGTCTTCTATCTTTTTTTCATTTGTAACTCTCAAATGAGAGAGAGTATCGTATTCCATGAATAACTATCTCATCTTTTTTTGTATATGCCTTCAAACAGAGCCTTGAGGGGGTTATATTGAAGTGTTTTGAAGCCTTATATATCGTTGGAAAAACAAGCGTTTTTAGATCATTATGAGGTGATATAGGTGTTAATGTCACCCTTTTTTCACACCGGTGTATCTTACAAGGGGTTGTGGTGGTGGATTTTTAATCGCTTCAATCAAGTCTTTTTTATTGAGTCTGTAGAGGCTTCGCAGACCCATCTCTTTTGCTTTTGCTAAAAGTTCAGGCTTGGAATATGTTTCAAGTTCATCCATATTAAAAATCCTTTCTGATATTTTCTTTCTAATATTTTGTTTAAGATATTTTTTTTCTCATTTTTCATAACTTCTGAAGTTCACTCACGTTAACCCACGAGTTAAATTTTTCTGGATAACCGCTCCACTTTACGAGAGCTTGTTTACCCTTCTTTCGTATAACCTTCTCAATGCGGAATAAACCCGAAAGGCTTTGCTTTGCCTTCAACATCTCTTGTTCGTAGAAAGTGCCTTTAATCTCTTCTCCAAGCAGATCCTTTAACTTGTAAGTGATAGGCTCTGTGTATTGCACCTCATCAACAACAAAGATCTCTTCAGACCAATTTGGGGTGTGGCCCTTGTCGAATAGCTTTCGCTTAAATTTGGAGATTCGAACGTGATTGCCGACCGCAAACTTTGGTTTCCCCCTTTGGGTGTCTACCTCTAGCTTATCACCATACAGTTTCAAATAGACAGCATTCTCATTCTTTTTTTTCGAAGCCTCTACAGGTGTCATACCTATCGATCTGTGTTTTGTGTTGTTGTACTTCTCGAGAATCTTTGGTAAAATGTCGGTGTACACCGTGTTGTTCTGGATGGTAAACTGCTTCCACATTTTTGTCTTTATCGTACGATTCCATCTCTCACACACAGATGACTTTTTTTCATTCTCTGTCGAGTACAGCTCAACACCTTTCCCTTTGAATAGATCTTTGACACTTTGATTGTAATACTCTGATCCTTTATCAGTCCACATTTTCTTCGGCACCCGCCCCTCGGCAAATATCTGTTTGAACCCAGCTGCCACACTCTCACCCTTTTTATTCTTCAGAGGAACGATCCACCCTTACTTGCTGAAAATGTCCAACACCATCACCACATAACTGTAGCCGTTGTTCCACTTTGCAAACTTTTGCATCTCCACCAAGTCAGAGCACCAAATCTCATCGATGCCGTTCACAATAACGCGTCGCTTTGTAAAGTTTCGTCTGATGGGTTTATGAAGCTCATCTGCTAGGCTCGCTTCCCACGTGTCAACTTTGCCTTTGGCTTTGCCTTCGACTTTGAATTTTTTTTTCCACCCACACCCACACCCATACCTAACTTCTGTTTGGTGTTGATTACGTTTCTCGCAAGCCAATGACCCCACTGCCTCTGATCGTACGGTATCGCATCTAGCGCTTTCACCATCTTACGATCGGCTACATTTTTACACGCTTTTGGATTTGCCTTGTTTGCACAGACGCTGTAATCAACGTCGTGCTGCATTGCGACTGCGTCACTCGGACCCGCTGGTGGGTCAAAGATCTCAAGAATCTGACCGGTCTTTGGATCAAAACGCAGTTGACTATCAAGATCGTTGTAGGGACCGGTATACTTGTGACCTGGTAGCGTCCAGCCGCTTTTCGGCTTCGGTAGTTTGCCGATCGCTTTGTGAATATCGAAGGCTCCACCTTTGTAAAGAGGGTGAGTCGGATCATTTACTCCACCAGGTGCATACATCGACATTGGTAGTATCTGATTTACATCGTATGCATTGTAATCACCACCCCCTCTTATCTTTTTGCTCATATCATTAACAAACGCATCAAGCGCCTGATCGACATACTTGCTCGCCGTCTTTTTGAACTTGCTCTTTGCATAGTCGGATTTGACAGCGTTTGCAAGCCCCACCTGTGCCATGTTCGCTAACCCCTTCACAGCCATCTCACCCAACGAGGTGCTCGTTCGCCCTACATCATCAAAGAGCGCCCCGCCTTTTTTTTTTTCCCTCCTTTCACGAAAGTTGTCTTTGTTGCACCGCATTCAGCGCACTTCGATTTGATCATCGGTCGACCATTTTTCGCAACCTCATGCCTTTCAGATCCAGGCACGCTATCAGTCTTCTCCTTTTGCTTTACGCAGTAAGTTTTCATTTTCGAGTTGTGTTCTTAGTATTGTGTTTTATATTTTTTCATCAAAATTTCGTGCACAGGTTCCCTTTATCTTATCACAAAACAAGAAATCATAGGGTTTTAACGCTGAAAAAGCACTAACATCAAAGCAGTTCTCCCTGGCAATCAACCTACGGTGCTCTTGTGTTGGTGGTAAATATATAATCATGTGAGAGCAATTATGTCTGATATCTAAAGGTGTTGTGTAATACGACTGTGAGAGGTACACCGGTGAGATTTGATGATGTCGTCCATCAATAAAATGCTTAACGATCTTGTCTTGGGTTTTTTTAGGAGCTGTTATCAAGTCATCGAAAATCACAACCTTTCGCCCCTCTGTGGGGTATTCGATTGTGTCGGGGATCTGAGTCGGGTCCATGAGATGTAAAATCTGATAACCCAGTCTTTGCGAATGCTTATGCATGACCTTTGCAAGGTCTTGTATCAACTCTTGATGAAAGTTGGGGCTATAGATATATATATCGTCATATGGCACAAGTGGTGCTCTCAACATATAGGACAACAGATTGGTCTTTCCACTACCGCTAGGACCGGCTATCAACATTCTATAGTCTTCGTCGAGATAGTCAACGCCTGGAATCCTTCTTTTTCGAGTACCCCCACCACGAGCGGTGGTCATTTTTGGTATCTTAACCATACTTTAGTCTTTAGTCTTTGTTGTAGTCTTTGTAATACTATCATAGAAAAATGTGTGTTGATTTTTTTACAGATCTGAAAAGATCTCACCACTTAAGTGGTAAGTGTTTTATGATGCAAAAAACGAGGGTTACACTTATTTGAAAAGATAAGTGTAACCCTCGTTTTTTACTTTTTTTGATTTTTTTTTCTCTTGGGTAGTTGTAAAGTACATTACAGATTTACAAAAACATGAAACTCTCAAATCTCAAAAGTATTACTCAAGATAATGTTATCTTTGAAGAGGCGGGTACTAACCAACACGGTCACGAACGTATCAACATCAAAATCAAACACGCTGAGGCGGCGGCTGCCGAACCGTTGGCGATAGCTTCACCTTTTCTATTTTCGTTTGGTGTACAGTCAAGCTGGAATAAGAGTAGAGATGTTGTGCTGGGATACACACTGCCCACTCCTCTGTGGAATCACAAAGAGGGTGAGCCAACGCAAAAAGAATTTGCCTTCTATGAAGCATTGAAAGAGTTGAAGCATATTTGCTATAAATGTCTAGACGATGTTTATGGCACAGACGTAGCAGAGAGCATAAAGTTTCCACTGGTAGAGAAAGAAGGGAAAGCGCCGGTACTATATCCAAAGCTTATGTACAATCAAAAGTCTTATAATATACGTACCCTCTTTCACACAAAAGGGGGGAAAATAATCACCCCACATGATTGTCATGATTACTGTAAGGTAAAAATGACCATTGTGGTTGATAGTATCTATCTAAGTGATGAGTACGCATCGGTACAGCTAAAAGTAAACGATGTATATATACAACCGTTGGCACATAAAAAGGTGCACCCATTAGCTATCCTTTCTGAAGATGAAGAAGAAGATGAAGAAGATGAAGTCTTCGAAGATCCCTAAGACCTCGAAGAGGTCTAAGACCAAAGGTCTTATTTTCTTTTCCTTTTTCGTTTCAAAAAAGGAAAAGGGACACTTACCACTTAAGTGGTAAGTTAAGTGTTTACGATGTAAAAAGCAAGTGTTGCACTTATCTCACCACTTAAGTGGTAAGTGCTTACAATGTAAAAAAGCAAGTGTTGCACTTATCTAACCACTTAAGTGCTACTCTTGTTTTTCACTTTTTTTGATTTTTTTTCTCTTGAGTAGTACTAAAGTACTAAAGGTAACTAAAAGCAAGCTCATTACAAGTATTATTGCCGTTAAGCGGTTGATCGGATAGACCGCTGATCTGTCTATCAGCTCCGTGAGAACTGACAAATTTCAAAGCTTTACTCAGATCTCCACCCTTTGTTTTGTCGAGGTAGTTTGAAAGATCTGATGAGTCTAGCTTCTTAGCAAGCTCAGTGTTGAATGTTGATGTATCAACTTTACCGCTCAAACCGTTCAAAACAGTCGATGTATCAGCTTTCTTCGCGAGTTCGGTGTTTAGTTTGTTTTCGTTTATAGCGGCGGTGCCATTGAGTGGTTGATCGCTTAGACCTGTAACCTGTCTATCGGCTCCATGTGTGCTTGTGAAAGTTATTTTCTTCTTCAAATCTGTGAGATCGATGTTACTACCTGACGCTGATGAACCGGCGGGGCCTTGCGGACCTTGAGGTCCGGCGGGGCCGGTGTCGCCTTTGTCACCTTTATCACCTTTCACTCCTTGTAAACCTCTTGGACCTGTAGACCCTCTCGGACCGGCAGAGCCTTGCAAGCCTTGCGGACCGGTGTCGCCTTTGTCACCTTTGTCACCTTTGTCACCTTTGTCACCTTTGGCTCCGCGTGAACCTTGTGGACCAGCGTCTCCTTTAGGGCCTTGTGGACCTGTGTCACCTTTAGGACCTTGCGAGCCGGTGTCGCCTTTAGGACCTTGCGAGCCGGTGTCACCTTTAGCACCTTGTGGACCTGTGTCGCCTTTAGGACCTTGCGGACCTCGCAGACCTTGCGAGCCGGTGTCGCCTTTGTCTCCCTTTACACCTCTCGGACCAGTAGCGCCAGTAGCGCCTTTGTCACCTTTAGGACCTTGCGGGCCTTGTGCGCCAGTAGCGCCAGTGTCACCTTTAGGACCTGGCGGTCCTTCAGGACCTTCATTCGATGCTCCATCTGCTCTTGGATCGATTTCGTGATCACCATCTGAGAAACCCATGCTTTCTGTTTTGTAATCTCTTCAGATAATTTGAAGAGATTTTTTTTTAAGTATACACCTCGGTTTATAATTTTTTCAACATTTCTATCACTTTTTTATGAGCTTCCAATTCTTTTTTCAATACTTCATATTCTATCTCTTTTTGCAATGTGCTCTCTTGTATTTTTTGATATTCTTGCAATGCGTTATAGAAGAGGGTAGAATTCTCTTTTTGCAATTCGAGATATTCCTTCATTTTTTGCTTTATTTCTTCAATTGAACCATCCGAGAAACTCATCTTGTTTGTTTTTGTAATCTCTTCTTTAGAACCTTCCTTCGATGCTCCATCCGCTCTTGGATCAATTTTGTGAAAACCGTCTGACCATCCCATGCTTTCTGTTTTGTAATCTCTTCAGATAATTTTATTTAGTTTTTTTTAATTATACTTCGGTGAAATACTTCACGATAAAGCGCTCGTTTGACGAGGTGTTGCTGTGTGACAGAGGTTTTACCACATCGTTGAATACTTGATACAAACTCTTATGAGCAAGGTCGAGCCTTTTCACCTTGCGAGTTACCTCGTTCAAAAACCACAGGCAATAATAGCCGCACAACACGCTCAACATAGCTTGATATTGCACGTTGTTGTATGCATAATTTATATCAAAGGTGTTGGAAAGCGTTACAACTTCCTCAGGTGGGTGTAATCCGAACGAGTCAAAATATAAGATAAGGTTGGAACCAAAAAACATTGCCACCCAGTGTGATCCACTTTCATGTGACTCGTTAAGATTCATCACATAGCAATGTTTTGGTTTGCAATCTTTTATGTGATCTCTCGAGATTACACCACCAAAGTTTGGGATCTCGAGGTAGTTTACCCACGCTTCGATATCGAGGTTTGTTATCGGTTTGTTTTCAAAGGAGGGTTTTAGAAGATGTCTCCTACGATCGGTATTCCGTTGAAGGGTGAGTTTTTCCCCAGTAGAATCCCCTCTCCTTTTTGCTTTTTTTTACCTCGCCCTCGTCCACGACCTACAGTCGTTACAGGCCCATCAAACTGTGGAATCCACGGTGACTGTGGCATTCCCTCCCAATACGATCTGTTCTGCAAAGCACCTCCGTAGGCACCTCTGGTACCTCCAGTACCACCGGGTCGTCTGTTTTGCAACCCTTTCCCTTTTGTACCACCACCGGTTAGCGCTTTGAGAACCAGCGGGGCAGCGATACTGGCGAGAAGTGTGCCGAGAAAACCACCTGATTGCTGTCTCTTAGTCAGCTTTATTTTCAAATTACCACCACTTTGTAACGCGGCGAGAATGTCCTTCTTTTGTTTCTCTGTCAGAAGATGTTTGTATGCGATAAGTTGTTGAATTTTCGAGTTTGGTACGAGACCTGCACCTAAGACTTTGTCTGTGGCAAAATTGCCTAGACTTGTAAGCGCACCTGTTGCAAGTCCGGGTAGAGCCTTTGTAGCAAATTTTGTTACAGTGGGTATTACTTGAGGTAATATTTTTGAACCGAGTGCTAAAAGTGATGAAAAGAGGCTGCCGCCTTGCTGTGCGACCTTTCTGATCTGTGATTTGCTGATCTTGAGGTCTACCCCCTTTCCTCCGGCTGCAGCTTTTTTAATTCGATTTAATTGAGTCTTTGTCAGCATCATCTCGTCGGGGCCACTAAGTTCATTATGTGAGAGGCGAAGAGTGATAGCTGAGTGTGAAGCGTAAGCTTTTGCAAGCTTTTGTCGTTGTCCATCTGAGAGGCTTACTCCATAAGGGTGATATGTCGTCATTATGCTTTATTATATGAAACATATAATAAATTCGAAAAAAAGAGTGCAGATCACAGATCTTTAGACCTCTGGTCTAAGTCCTAATAACAGCCTTTCCAGACATATTATCAATACTTACTTCTTCATTGTTTAAAATAAGGGCATAGATGCGATAGTTAGCGTTTGGAGCACCGTTGAGAGAATACTCAAAATCCAAACCTCTTGTTTCCGTCAAGAGCTCAGGTGCTTGTTTTGTGAGATCGAAGTAGAGAATACCGTACAGATCTTTGAACTGTTTCAGATCGATGGTTGAACCTAATAGGAGATTGCGAGTAAAATGTGTGTACCCTTGCAAAGCTAACCATGCGCGTACCATCTCACTCTTTGGGTTTAGTTGTTGATCTGGATACCGCACTTCATTATCAACACTGAGTTGAGCCTTTGTTAGATGTTTTCCATCTGCGATGTTGTATGTGTTGAAAACAAGGGGATTCTGCTCCTGGGATGAAAGCTTGTTTGCGTTGAGAATCCACACAAACACGTGTCTTGGTTGTTTCACAGCGCTTGTTATTCTGAAAGTGCCATCTGTCTGTTGAAGTGGGGCAGATACAGAGATCCGCTCTTTGAGATAGCTCCACACATGAGGCTTGAGATACTCTTCGAGGTACTTCTTTTGACCTTGGGTGTTGAATTTGATTTTAGGCACCCATTATTTGAACTTGGTAATGATGTAACGTCCTGCAGCTGCTGCGTTTGATCGGAATATAACGTTATCATCATCTTCGAGTGTAACGTTGATACTAACCCTTCCATTGGGGGCTAGTTGTTCTTCCATCGACTCAAAGAAACCAAAACGGTTGAGAGGTAGGTGGATATTACGCGTAGCGCCTGCAGAGAGTTCAGTTTGTCGTTTGGCAAAACCTTCGTTGTAATTGGTGTTTCTGCTTGATGCAATGTTTTGCGCGTTTCCATCAAGTTGGAGTGTTGTATCTTGTTGAATCACTGCACCAGTGTTCGTATCCTTGTAAAAAAACTGTCGAGGGCCCATCGTTCTCGCATGTAGATCAGTCATCTCTGTGAGATTCTTTACATTTGCCGCGAAGTTGGCTTGGGGGAGATCGAGGACTCGGGTACTATCAAATGAGATCTTGAGATCTGAGATTACACTGAGGCCGCCATTAATAATAGATACAGCATCTGTTGCAGCGTAGTTTGTTCCATCCGCTAACTTGTTGATCTTGAGATCTATTTCAAAGTATGCGTTGTACCAGTCGGGCGCTGATTCAGAGGCAGAGGTAGTGTCTACAGTAAAAATGTAACCACTTTTGTCTTGCTTCGCATTATTGGCAGGTGCCGCTTGCAACGGTGTGTCGAGATTGTATGAGTAATATTCATACGCCTTGGCGTATTTTGAGGTTCTCATCTGAGACATGATGATAATCAAATTTGTTTTTTTGTTGAGGAGTGTTCTTGTTGAGAGTCAAGACTTTTTTATTCCAAAAAAATCATCAAAGTCGCTGAACAACTCTGAGGGTTCTTCTTTTTTACGTTTGGCAGTACTTTTACTGTTAGCAGTGGTACTAGCAGTAGCACTCGGTGTACTTGTCGGCGTTTGAGTTCTCCACGATTTATCTTGTTGGAGCAGCTTTGCAAGCTTATCCCCTTTGTTTTTCTCTGCCGCATCCGACGTGAGTTGCGTCACTGACGTGACTTGTGGCGTGACTTGTGGCGTGAATTGCGGTGTGGCTTGCGGTCGTTTTGAAAATTTATCATAGACCGTTTCACCGACTAATTGACCCACATGAGGGGACGCAAATCGTCTGCACTGCAAGTATCCCGGAAAGTCCCATACATTTTCTTAGACTAAAAGTCTAAGAAAATGTATGGGGCTTTTTGAGCGCTCCAGGCAGCTTTCCTGTAAGGCGTCATAATCTTGTTGCTGCTGACATCGATGTGACAGATAATTGCTTTTACAGTGTTTTCTTTGCCGGCTTATATTGTCATCAAGTTTCAATAAGACGGCTCTCATTTTTCACCACAACAATAAAGTTTTTGTAAATTACGAGATCGGATGCACGTACTGTTTCAACTAATTCGCTCTTCTTCCTTGGGAATACATTAATAAAATGTCGGCGGACCTTGAGGCCTCCACTAAGCTGGAAATACCAAATAAACAGGAGGTAAAATCGCGAAAAAATACTCCCAAGGAGAAACCTAAACAAAGTAGAGAATGGAGAAAGCGAAAGCGACAGCAGAAGAAAGCGGGTAATCTGGCTTAAGTTCTGCCTGGCATCAATGGTGGACCAAATGTGACTGAGACAAACTTGATAGATAAAAATCATTTTCTCCAAATCTGGATACAAAACAGGTAGGCAACGAAAGCGGACTTATCATGCTTAAGGCTAATTCTAAAGAAGAAATGGAAAGTAATGTGAAGCGACCACGATTAACAACCGTTTTAGATGTAAATTATTCAAGNAACATTGTCCAGATCCAAAACCAGACACCGTCCAGATCCAACCGAAAGGGGCGCTAACGATATTAACCATGCAAACGCTGACATAAAAACCACATATTTAATGGGATTAGAACGCCTGGGGAGTTTGATGTGTACTTCCAGTGCAGACGATTTGCGTCCCCTCATGCTTATCACCAATTTGCTCGGCACCCTTCTCAATCGCTTTTGTCGCCGCTTTCGTTGCAAGCTCTTTTGCAGCTTTACCTGTAACCTTAGCAGCTACTTTTGAGGCTACATTTTTAACAACGTCAAAAATTCCTTCACCTTCTTGTGACAAAGTGCTATACACTTCGTGAGTGTCGTCAATATTTTGTAATATGAGTTTGCCATCGGCATCCCATCTCATATGTTTAACCATAGCTTTTTATATCATGTGTATGAAATAAATAAAAACTTTTATGCGATTCACTTTAGCAAAAGTGTCAGTGAGACAGCCGTGCCGTTAAGGTCTAACGGCCTCCCAAGAGAGTCGGTTATATAGATTCGTAAATCACTGATAGCACCCGTGTTTATTTTGCTATATTCTTTTTCTTTCGGATCGAGATGAAAGGGATAACTAAGAGGTAAATCATCAACTGAAAAGCGGTAGAGAACATCTGATTGTCTCCCACCGACAACGGACTCTGATAGAATATTTGTTCTGATGTAGATATCATCCACCGAGCGAGTGATGTCTGGAAGCTTGTCACCGTAGGTGGTCGCTGTCACGATTTTCTTTGTAAAACCGATAAG